TCCAATATATATGGATGTTCTGTCAAAATTTGCTCTCTCTCTTGATTCTGCATCCATCTCGTCATCCTCTGACCTCCGGTACTTGGGACATGAGCCAGCAGCCTGCTGCCTGACCTGCAGATTTTGGGTTCATCAGCCCCTGAAACCATGGGAGGCAGGAGAAGCCTCCAGCCTGTTGCCTGACCCATGGATTTGGGACTTGCCAACCTCCACAATTGGGTGAACCATTTCTTTGAAATAAATCTCTCTATATATATATTTATATATATGCTTCACTGGTTTTGCTCCTCTAGAGAACCTAGCCTAAGACACTGAACAAGTTCTGTAGAAATTGTCAAATGGGAACCTAATTTGCTGTGTAAATTTTCACTGAAAACATGATAAACTATTATTAAAAACGAGTAAACATCTACACCTAACAACACCAATATACATGATGCAAAACTGAAAGAAGAGAGAAATATACAATTCAATAATAATACGTGGAGACTTCAATACCTCACTTTCAATGACGGGTAGAAGAGCTAGGCAGAAGACCAACCAAAATATACACTTGAACAACACTATAAACTAGACCTAACAGACATCTATGGAACACTACCCAACAACAGCAGAATACGCATTCTTCTCAAGTGCACATGAAAAATTCACCAGGATATACCATTCTTTTGCATGTGGATATCTACTTGTCTGAGCACCATTTATTGGAAAGACTATTCTTTCCCCCATTCAATTGTTTTGGTACCCTTATAAAAAAATTAATTAACCATACATGTGTGGGTTTATTTTTGGACTCTCAGTTCTATTCCATTGATTGGTATGCCTATTCTTATGCCTATGCCACACTGTCTTTATTACTGTAGTTTTGTAGTAAGAATTGAAATCAGGAAGTGTGAGTTCTCCAACTTTATTCTTCTTTTTCAAGATTGTTTTGGTTATTCTGGGTCCCTTGAATTTCCATATGAATTTTAGGATCAGTTTTATATGTATTTTTTCATCTCTACTAAGTACTATATTTACTATGTTGTAATTTTTTAAGATAGGAATTTGTGCCTCTTTCATCTTTGTATTCCCCACAATATCTGGCAGGATGCCTACATATTGTATAAGCTCAAAATTTTTTAAAGTAGTGAATAAATATATGCTTTCTGACATTGTACAACTGGACAAAAATTCTAACCGTTGAGTTATTTTGTACATACTTGTAATGGATAATCTCATAAGGACTATGTTAGAATGTTAAGTGATGACTGTATAACCATGGCAATCATGTAAGATTATATTTTTAATTTCCATGAAATATTAATAAAGTAAGAAAATAGGATCCTTACACATTACAGATTTTTTTTCTCTGAATTTCTTGCAAAAACATTTTTTAAAGTGATATATTCGGAACAACATTTGGGAGTCCAGTTTTAGAGGCATTTTTACTAAACAGAAATTTGTAGTGATATTTTTGTGACTTGTTAGTAGAGTCTCATTTTTCATCTACCATATTTTATAGAAATAACACGCGACTTCTAAGTCTGTTTGCCAGCTGCGCCCTCCCCAACGAGGCACCCTCGCAAGCGCTGCCATGCCAATCCTCTTCTAGGGGTTACTGTAAAAAATTAGCATAGCGCGCTTAAGAAAATACCTAGGGGCTAGGCAGGGGTTGCTGCAGGCAAACACAGAAGGCACAGGTTATTTGCATCAAAATACAGTACTCATTCTTACTCTTGCCCTGATTTATTTCATCCAAAACTTTTACTGCTATGATCTGTAAAGAAGCAATACAGGTTTCCCTTGCTATCTGAAAGCAGAGTGTTCCTATGAAACCTTTCCTAAGCCAAATTGGCATAAAGCGAAGAAGCAATTACCATTAATTTATATGGGAAATAACTTTTGAGCATTCCTAGACCCAAAAAATAACCTACGTCTAGTTTTATGCTAAGTATAACACCCTTATGAGCTCTCTTAGGCTTTTCTGATATCTTAGGACACATCTTGGTAATGGATGCACGAAAGGAGATAAAGCACAGATGCTCACAGACACAGCTCAAAGCAATGATGGCTTGATACTGAGATGCTGAGTGTAGTTCCTGGGGAAGGAACTTGGCTACGCCACTCTCGCTGCTCGGTGCGTGCTGCCTCTTTTAATGACTCAATGCATGCAAAACAAACGCTGAACGCTATTTCCACTTTTCGCCTTTTTTCATAAAAGTAAAAATCTTCACATTTCTTTCAGATTACTTTCATAAAAGCGAAGTACTGTAAAGTGAACTTTCAAAAAGCACAGGACGTCTGTATAGTATACTAGAAAGAGTTATATGGTTTCAGGTTTAAACTCCAGAACCCAGCATAACCAAGTTTTATCAACCTCATCAAATTACTCAACCTATCTTAACCTGAGTTTTTTTACTTTAAAATGGTAATACTAATGCTGACTTTATAAGTTTCTTGAGAGAACTAGAGATAATGCATATAAAGTTTGTGGTATGGGGTGGATACTCAATAAATGGTATCTGTTCTCATCCTTTTATTTTAAAAACTATTTATTCATCCAATACTTGGAACAAAGCCCTATGACAAATACTAAGGATAGAAAAAATAGTTCCTGCTTCAAGGAGCTTACACTGTAATGGGAAGATTTTAAATAGATACCGTATTTTTACACAAACAACACACACACAAGGTATAAGCATGCTATGCTTTTTTCTTACAGCAACATGTAAAAAAAATTGACATAGTGGAACTTATGAAAATACCTCACAGGGGGAGGGCACAGTTGGCAAACAAACGTAGAAGGTGCACATTATTTGTGTAAAATACAGTAGATGCACACACACAATAACTATAGTTTAGTGTGGTAATTACCCTATTAAGGAATAAACCAGGCCCAGCTACCACCAGCGACCACCCTGACAGGGAGTACAACAGAGAGTCCCTGACGGAGCAGGAGAAAAGTGGGGTGCAGAACTCAAATTCTAGTAAAAAGACCAGACTTAATGGTCTGACTGAGACTGGAGGGACCCTGGAAGACATGGCCCCCAGACTGTCTGTTAGCCCAGAACTATAACCATTCCCAAAGCCAACGCTTCAGACAAAGATTAGACTGGACTATAAGCCATAAAACAATCCTCGTGAAGAGAGTGCTTCTTAGCTCAGGTAGATACAGGAGACTAAAATGGGCAGCTCCTGTCTGGAGGCGAGATGAGAAGGCAAAAACGGACAGGAGCTGGTTGAATGGACATGGGAAATCAGGGATGGAAAGGAGGAGTGTGCTGTCACAGTATAGGGAGGGCAACTAGGGTCACAACAGTGTGCGTATAAATTTGTATGAGAAACTAACTTGAACTGTAAACTTTGATTTAAAGCACAATTAAAAAATAATAATAATAAACCAGGAGGTATTGGAGCACAGAGGATGCGCAGATACAGTCTAAGCAGTGACACAGGAAAGACTTCATGAGGAGGCTATTAAAACTAGGACTTCAAGAACAGAAAGAATTACTACAGGCAGAGATGACTGGATGGGAAAATGAAACTGACGTCTTTGTATATAACTCCTATGACAGATGTTTATCTTTCAGTCAGTGACACAATTGGCAATGAAACATGTCGACATGATAGGCAGTTCTTTTTGTATATTCTAAAAACTTTGGGGCTTAATTACCTGTTATTGCCAATAGCCAAGCAGCTTATATAGTAGGTAATTATAAGTGATTAGTCTACCTCCTATTTGCCTGTTCAATCCAGGCAATTCTAGATTGTTCGTTTTCTTCCTCAATGAGTTACATCTCTTTTGAGCTGCTTTGCCAGAATCTTGAGATTTATTGTTGGTTTTTATGAATTGGTTTTCATGAATAAATGCTTCTCAGTTTGTAATATGCCTTTAATTGATTTCTAGAGTACTGTACTGGTTGCTTCTTGACAGTTTTGTCCAGCTTTATACTTGTTTATACTTGTTTTGGGGGGAGAGAATGTGTTGACCCCCTCACTCCATCATGCTGAAGTAAATCTCCACCTTTTAATTTTATCTCTCAGAAAATATCCTAAGGATTTCGTCTGAGAAGTACTTGTAGTATCTGGTTTTCATGGGTGATTCAGGATCCCAAGGATAACATTTTACTGTTTAGACCTCTATAGGGAGGAGGTGCCAATCACATGAATGAGAAAGATACTTCATAAATCATAGAGAACCAGAGCTGCTTGTACTTTTTTTTTTTTGCTTGTTTACTTTTTTCATATTCTTTTTTGTTGTTGTTGTGCTTTAAGTGAAAGTTTATGCTTCAAGTTAATCTCTCATACAAAAATTTATACATACATTGTTATGTGACCCTAATTGCTCTCCTTATACTGTGACAGCATACCCCTCCTTTTCCACCCCAGATTTACCGTGTCCATTCAGCCAGCTCCTGTCCGTTTTTGCCTTCTCATCTCACCTCTGGACAGGAGCTACCCATTTAGTCTCATGTATCTACTTGAGCTAAGAAGCATTCTCTTCACAAGTCTCATTTTATGTCCCATAGTCCAGTCTAATCTTTGAAGAGATGGCCTCGGGAATGGTTTTAGTTTTGGGCTAACAGAGAGTCTGGGGGCCATGTCTTCCAGGGTCCCTCCAGTATCAGTGAAACCATTAAGTCTGGTCTTTTTACTAGAGTTTGAGTTCTGCACCCCACTGTTCTCCTGCTCCATCAGGGACTCTCTGTTGTGTTGTCTATCAGGGCGGTCATTGGTGGTAGCCAGGCATCACCTAGTTCTTCTGATCTCAGGCTGATGAAGTCTCTGGTTTACGTGGCCCTTTCTGTCTCTTGGGCTAATATTTTTCTTGTGTCTTTGGTGTTGTTCATTCTCCCTTGCTTCAGGTAGGTTGCGACCAATTGATGCATCTTAGATGGCCGCTGGCTAGCTTTTAAGACCCCAGATGCCACTCACCAAAGTGGGATGCTGCTTGTACTTTTGTAGGTGTATAAACTTTACTTCATAACTAATGTAGTATATTTTTCTTTTAATTTCAGATTTCAATTAAGCTCCATATGTCTTCCCCTGAAATTGTTTCCCTCTTCTGGGGACAAATGAAAGTAGAAGGCTCTACTAAAACCTATAAGGACTGCAAAGTGTGGCCAGGGGGCAGTCGGGCTTGGGATTGGAGAGAAACAGGAACTGAGGTAAGATTGTTGTGTTTGGTTGGCACTGCACAAAGCTGTTCAAATAGCTTCCAACTTCTTAAGACATTAAGGAACCAAGTGAAAAGAAATAACTATTTCTCTCTTTTTTTTTTTTGAGCTATAATTCACATACCCTAAAACTCACTCTTTTAAAATGCAAATCAGTGATTTTTAGTGTATTCATAAACATATGCAAAAAACTGCCCATCCTCCTTCCCCTCCCTCCCATTTTCCTAGCCCCTGGCTACCACTAATCTACTTTCTGTTACCTATTGTGAAGATTTGCCTATTCTGACCATTTCATATACTAAATGGAATCACACAATATGTGACCTTTTGTGTCTGCCTTATTTCACTTAGCATATTGTTTTCAGGGTTTGTCCGTGTTATAACATGTTTCAATACTTCATTCCTTTTTATAGCTGAATAATATTCCATTGAATGGATATACCACATTTTGTTTATCCATTCATGAGTAGATGGATTTTTGGGTGTTTCCCATCTTTTGGCTGTTACGAATAATACTGCTGTGAATATTCACATACAAGTTTTTGTGTGGACACGTTTTCATTTCTTTTGGGTATATACCTAAGAGTATAATTGCGGGTCCAAATGAAAACTCTAAATTTAACTTTTTGAGGAAATATTTTCCAAAGCAGATGTACCTTTTTACATTTCCACCAGCAGTGAACAAAGGTCCAATTTCTCTACACTTGTTGTCTTCTAATAGAATTAATCATAAATAGATGGGTTTATTCCTGAACTGTCAGTTGTATTCCATTGGTCTGTATGTCTGTTTTTATGCCAGTCCCACATTGCCTTGGTTACTGTGGCTTTGTAATAAGTTTCAAAATTGGAAAATGTGTGTTCTCCAACTTTGTTCTTCACTTTCAAGATTGTTTTCTGTATTCTCAGTCCCTTGCATTTTCATATGAATTTTAGGATCACCTTGTCAATTTATGCAAAAAAGCCAAGTAGGATTTTGATAGAGAATATGCTGAACCTATAACTCAATTTGGGTAGTATTGCCATCTCAACAATATTCAGTCTTCCACTCCATAAACATGAGATGTCTTTTCTTTAGATTTTCTTCAATTTCTTTCCATGATGTTTTATACTTTTCAATGTACTAGTCTTGCACTTTTTTGTTAAATTTATTCCTAAGCATTTTATTCTTTTTGGTGCTATTATAGGTGAAATGTGTCCTTAATTTCATTTTCAGATTGTTCATTGCTAGTATGAGGTAAAATTGATTTTCGTATATTGATCTTGTATCCTGAAAACTTGGTGAATTTGCTTATTGGCTTTAATCATTTGTGTGTGTGTGTGTGTGTGTGTGTGTGTGTGTGTGTGTGTGTGTATTCCATAGGATTTTCTATATTCAAGATAATTTCATCTACAAATATAGATTGTTTCACTTTTCACATTCCAATTTGGATGCCTTTTATTATTTGTTCTTGCATAATTGCCTTGACTAGAACCTCCAGCACAATGTTGAATAGAAGTGGAAAGAACAAGACATTCTTGTCTTGTTCCTAAATAAGTCACTCCATTAGCCCAATTCCTGCCTATAGAATTCCAGGAGGCAGACAGCTTTCCTTCGTTTTGTACTGTCTCTGTCCCTTTCAGTCTAAACTGATGGGATTTTTGCTTCAGTGGTTGAACAGATATATCAGTTACAAGCTTAATCTCTTTAGCAAAAGATTGAATCACCATGTCCTTGGTGAGAGTTCTAAGACATGTGTCCTTAGTTTGTACAACAGAATTTTCCAGATCTTTAAATTCTAGTTTCATTTTGCACAGTTCATTCCATCTCTTCCCTCCCACATTCTAATGTAAGCAGCAAGGAGAAACCATGAAATCTCCTCAGCCAAATATCCAAGTTTATCACTCACAAGTTCTACTTTCCATCAAACATTTGAACATAATTCGGACAAGTAAAAAGCATCACCTTCCCTTCAATGTCCGATCACATGTTCATCATTTCCTTTTAATGTCTCACCAGAAGCACATTTAAGGTCCACGTTTCTAGCAACATTTTGTTCATGATAATAGACGCTCTCATCACAGCTCTCAATTCTTCCACAGCCCGCATCAGAATCGGCCTTAATGTCCATAATTCTACCAACAGTCTCTTCAAGGCAATCTAGGACCTTACTATGAAGTACATCAAAGTGTCTTCAGATTCTACCCATTAGCCAATTATAAAACCAGTTCCACATTTTAGGCATTTTTTAGAGCAGCACCCCCACTTTTCGGTACCAAATTCTGTCTTAATTTCTTAGTGCTGCTGTAACAGAAATACCACAAGTGGGTGGCTTTAATGAACAGAAATTTATTTTCTCACATTTTAGGAGACTAGAAGTCTGAATTCAGCATGCCGCCTCTAGGGGAAAGCCTTCTCTCTCTCTGTTGGCTCTGGGGAAAGGAATTTGTCTCTTTTAAAAAATGTTGAATTGAATTTTTCATTAAAATGTATTTAAACAATTTTTTTTGCCTTTGTGACATTCCCTCTGAGGTAGGTTAATGTGATTCATTATTTATTAGTTTTTAAAAAGTGTGTGTGTGTGGATTTTATAGTAATTACAGAATGGAAATGGCAAGAAAATTTGTCTCCAGGCAGTGTCCTTGAATAATTATTACCACCTCCTCCCAAATCACTGTTGTTGTTAGGTGCCAGTGAGTTGATTTTTGACTCTTAGCAACCCCATGTGACAGAATAGAACTGCCCCTTAGGGTTTTCTAAGCTGTAATCTTTACAGGAGCAGATCACCAGGTCTTTTGCGGAGCCACTGCGTGGTTTTGAACCACCAACCTACTGAGCACTTAACCGTTATGCCACCAGGTGCAAATCACTACCAGTCATTAAACAACTAACATGTGCCTAGTCAAATATAGCTTTTCCAGGGTCATAAAACTAATAATTTTTGGAATCAGAATTTGAACCTGAGACTTTCTGACTCTAAATTAGGCCCATACCTTTTCTACTATGTCATACTGTCCTCGCTTACTTCTATCTTAAGACACTAATTTTCCTTTTAGAGGAGAGTTTTCTATGTGGAACATACATTGGTCATTCATGGTCACTTATGTATTCTTTTTGTTAGGCTGAAAGGGTATATATATATCTATATGTATCTGTGTATATATATATATATGTATATATATACTAGAATTAAAAGAAAGCCAAGTCAATTAGCAGCCACGCAAAGAGAACCAAAGAAGTGTGAAAACTCCCCAACCTTGATGTTCCTGTAAAGGTATTTTGTAGATGTAGTTAACATCTACAACCAGTTGACTTTAAGTAAATGTGGCTGGGCCTAATCCAATCAGTTGAAGGCCTTAAGACTAAAAACTGAGATTTCCTGAAAAAGAAGACATTTCTCCTCAAGACTGCAACATCAACTCCTATGTGAGTTTCCAACCTGTGGCCTACCCCACAAATTTCGAATTTACCAACTCCTACAATCAAGAGAGCCAATTTTTAAAAATAAGTCTTTTAATTCACACACGCTCTATTTGTTCTGTTTCTCTAGAGAAGCCTGACTGATACACCGACAATTTATGAGAAGGTCGATTTTGAAATGTGGAAATGATTAAATTTATTAGTAAAAATAAACATGATATTGTTTTCTTTGTTATTCAAGTCAAAGTTGAAAACAAAATAGAATGTGGAAACTCCCAAGAATTAAAGAAACCACTTTGGGTATTTCTTAGAGCATTTCAGAATACTTTATTGAAACTCAGACATTTTAGCATCCAAAAATGGATTTGATATGTACAATTATCATTCAACATTTAAAAACATATAGGCACTGCTTACAGGGGGCCAGGCATTTTCTTAAAGTTTGGTGATACATAAATAAATCAGCCATAGTCTCTGCCTTCAAGGAGCTCTCTGGGGGAATCAGGCAAAGAGACAATTGTAGTAAGTGCTATAGTAGGTGAATGAAAGAAGTACAATGGGAGCAGAGAGAAAGGGGTACCTAAGATTGGGTGAGTTAGGGGAGCCTTTACAGAAAGTGTGATCTTTGACATGATTCTTAAAGGGGTTGTTTCCCAGGTAAACTAAGAGAAACCAGTTTACTGGCAGGAAGAACATATGCATAGACATACAAGTGTGGAAAAATGCTAGAGTAGAATCATGGGAAGATTTCCTCAATTGGTCACCAGTATCTGCAAACATTTATTTATACAGGAGATTCTAATAATATGGTGCAGGTGGTTGGGGCTAGATTGATAGTTAAGGTTTCTCCAAGCCTTAGATCCTACCATTCTGATTTATTAAGGCTAATATGGTGGACTTGAGTCTTATTCGGGGATTTATTTTAACGTTAGCCCTTAAAATAATAATCATTCATAGTAAATCCTTTAAGAAGATTCCCTCATGTTAGAACATATGGTTATCTTTCATTGAGGACCAGATAAAATAGTTGCCTTGCAGTTAGCGTCCATGTTATGTGAAAAAATACATATTGTAATTTTAAACTCTAGAAACACATTCAGTGAGACAAAAGGTTCACATTGTAAACAGCAACTATGAAACTGAAATGGAAGGAATAGCAGCTACATGCCTGCTATTTCATGCTCAATCCACGGCCTGTGCTCTTTGAGCAGAACGGCTGAATAACCCTCACTATTTAAATAGTTCTTTTTTTTTCTCTTTGTCTGAAAATATATAGTTGAATTCCCATAAGATAATTGCCCATATCATATGACTCCCTTGTATATATTCTGCATATCAGACATAGTCCACTGTAGTAGTCTAGTGTGGTTAACACTTAACATCCAGTCCACCCCAAATGATTTGTCTAACCAGTCATGGTTTCACTTAGGAAAGCTGCTGTACTAGAAAACATGAAACTCATTGCCTTAAAAAAGATAGAAATACATTTGTCTGTCTCATATATTAGCGTGGCCAGTCTAAGCTGGGGGAAGGGGGCTTCATGCCACACAGGGTCATCTCCAAACCAGTTGCTGTCGAGTTGATTCCAACTCAT